AGCTTGGACCCAAACCAAATATTTCTTGCCACCTTGCAATGAATCAGTGGAGATGTTAATATAACTTGAAGAAAGATATTGTTGCTCTTCTTCTGTCTCTAAACTTAAAAAAAAAAATTATGATGACCAGTTACATTTGGTTTGAATGAGTTATTCCTCAATTTTTTATGCTACTTTTTTAGCCTGCTTTCAGAATACAAAAATGATTTCAGTTTGAAAATTTTTAAAAATAAATTCAAGACTATTGAGAGTCACACTATGACTTTCATGGGCCCTAAGTCGTTTTGCCTTTATGGACTCATTCTTCCATCAAGAAAAAAATAGTATATATGTGTGTGTGTGTGTGTTTATATAGATACATATATATGTTCATATAGATTATGTTTTACAACATTGATATAAAAGCAAATATATTAATATTACATCTTAAACATATTCTTTGACCTAATGGTTTATTTTTTCTTCTGATTTTATTTTATTTATTTTTTAAGATTTTATTTATTTACTTGACACAGGGGAGGGGAGAGAGCAAGCACAAGCAGGGGGAGTGGCAGAGGGAGAGGCAGACTCCCCGCTGAGCAAGAACCCGATGTGGGGCTTGATCCCAGGACCCTGGGATCACGACCCGAGCTGAAGGCAGCCGCTTAGCCAACTGAGCCACCCAGGTGCCCCTTTTCTTCTGATTTTAAATTAAATTAAGCATTTTCATGGACTCCTCAAAGTATCGTGGGCCCTGGGGACTGTGCCCACTATGCCTGGATAAGTCGACTCTAGACAGAGCTTGAAATAAATGTGTACCCTCTGGGAAGGAGCAATGCATAGGAGCTCAGTACAAGGGCTTTGAGTCAGACATTTCTACCAGGTGTAGAGTGAGGGGTAAGAATGGCAGGAAGGATCAGGATAGGGTGAGAGATATGGATGGGGTAGAGAAAGACCGATCTTCCAGGGGAAAACAACAACAACAACAACCCCCCCCCCCCACCAGGGCATGTTCTAAAGTGAATAAATGAAGTGTCATGCCATTTTCAAGGAAGTTCAGAAAGTTCATTCTCTGGAGCATGAATGTGCAAGAAGTAACTTGAAGTAGAGCAGACAAGATCAAAAAAGACTTCCTGTGGACTTTGAAACGAGAACTGACCAGATCTGGGGGCTGGTTAGGTAAGGGGAAAGGAAGTCATTTGCTGCCAAAGAGGATGGAGGAGATAGAGGGGAGAGGCACGGTTTGGAGTGAAACACAGAGCTTCTAAATCATCACTTCAAATTATGTTCTTTTAAGTTTTTATCATTGAATGAGTGAGGATCTCTAATCAGCCAATTTAGCTTAGTGAAATTTCAAATGTTATTGTTAAGGCTAAAATTTTAAATTTTATTAATTTCCATTGGCTTTGGTTAGCAAGTTTGAGCCTCTTTGTTATATCTGTTAAAAATTTCTGGGGCACCTGGCTGGCTCAGTCAGTAGAGCATGCAACTCTTGATCTGGGGGTCCTGAGTTGGAGCCCCATATTGGGTGGAGAGATTACTTAATCTGTCTTAAAAATTTCTACTCCACAATATCTTTAGGGGGTAGGGGCTGGATGTAGTGGTGAGGGGAGTATTGGGAAATGTTTCTTCCATCCTTTTCTGGTTTCTGGTTTTTGTGAGGAGAAACTGTCCTCAAAACTCCCCTGTTCTGTCTTGTCCCTCCCTCCCTCATCGCTCTTGAAGGTGGGCATGATTCTACTTATGAAGAACTGGCCTGCATACCTCACAGTCCCTTCCTCTCTCCCGTTTTCCCTTGGGAGTCAGAAGACCACAGAAATGACCTTTTCTGGTCTTCTCCAATAAGCTGTAAGATTTAGAGGAGTTGGCCCCCAAGTGGGGATGTGCAGCTGTCTAATACTGGCTGTGGTTCAGGGCAAGGGTAGTAAATCTGTTTATTCTGGGAAGATCAGTATTAGAAAGTTCACTGTTGCCACATACCAAAACCATGCTCTCCATTAACAAGCTTCTTCAGTAATAAATATTATAAAGTATTTTAAATGTTTAGTTATTTAAATATATATTTTAAAATATTTAAACATAACTATTTTTATATTTCTATTTTCACCTATTGGCTTTTTGATTTCTCTCAGCTGGTTTAGAACTCATGAGGAAAATCTACAGAGGTAAATATTGAGCCACCTCAGACTCTTATACACCATTACCTATAGTCAGATCCATTCATAACATGAAAGTAGTTTTCACTAGACTTCACTAAGTTTGCATTTCTTGAACCCTTTGAACTACCAACTCTTTTTATTTCCTTTTCTTAAGCTTCTCAGTCAGATTTTCTACATCCCTGGTAACTACATCCAAATTACCATTTCCACTTGTTCTTTAAGCTTTTTGTTGTGCTTTCTGCCTTCACTTTTCCCATGAAACTACTCTTCTAAAATGGCATCCTTTCCAAGGTGAAGTCCTCTGAATCCTCTTTGTAGCATCCGTCCCTCTTGATAACTTACAAGTCTTCCTTCCCTTGGCTACCCAGACCGTGTCTTCTGGGTGAGAGAGCCTACATCTTTTTCTCACACCTGCTTGGTGATGTCTTTCCTCCTCCAACCCTCCACTTAGGTTGCCCTCCCTACTCCTCTAACCCCACCACACAGTGAGGGTCAGCTCTTAGTGCTTGCCTTTTCCCTCAGCTCACTCATCTTCCTGGTTTCAGTCACAACAATGGACAAAACATTCCACACATAGAGCTTCTGGGTATCTGTACTCTCACTGGGAGCTGCATTTGGAGATCTGCCTGAGACCAGAACTGTAGCATATTTACAACTTGTAATTCTTCTTGCCCATTTCTCTGTTGTTGTCAATAGCGTGCTGCCTTTCTGATGTCCTCAGTTTGCCATTTTTAACAACTTTTCCTCCATCACTTAAGAGCCAACCAAAGAAGGTGAAGTATTTCCTTAGCTATTATTTTCTTATCTTTTGTTTCTGTTTTGATAGCTGTGGCCATGGTCTAAGCCCTAGCTCTGTATTATCTGTTTGATATATTACTTGTAGATTCCTGCATTAATTGTATTACATTGTGAAACCTAACTTTATATACATCTACTAACTTGGAGGGAAATAACCTTGGAATTTGAACAAAAGTGAAAAGACAAGTCCCCAAAATTTTTACATTTAACAAACAGAAACGCTTCACGAATTTGTATGTCATCTTTGATTATGGGTCATGTTCATTTTCTCTGCACTGTTCCAATTATATACATTGTGGCGAGCACTGCTCGGTTTCTTTATCTAATACCATCAACTTTTTTCTGTCCTGGGGGACTGACTTGATACGATTTATGGGAAAGGAAGAGTTGAAAAATCACAATCATTTCATCTCTACAGCTGCACTTCAGGTCCTATTACTACTATGCATCTATTCAGCAATGCCCCGAATTTCTCCAGCCCCACAATACCCCAGCCCAGATTATAACTTGCCGGCCACTATGATCTGTTAGAATCCAAAGTGGCATGCTTGCTGAGACACAGAACTCCAGGGGGGGAAAGAGGAACCAGCCTCACTCTACCAAGCAATAAATGCATTTATGAATCAAAATACTACAGAATTTACATATCTGTATTTTAAACTTATTGCCACCATCAGAGCAGGATAATCTCAGCAGGCAACCAAGGAATCTAAGGCTGACATTGCTACGTGGATGGGGGTGAGGGGTCTACCTGGAATGAAGGTGGCAGCAGCTACTCTAGTTCAGCTTAGGTTTTTAACCCTCAGTGCATATTTTCTGGTGCTGCCTCTTTCCTCTCAATAGCAGGGAGATCACTATGAACACCAGGAGAAGACAAGGACATATCATAGTGATGAAAAGCAGAGGGCTTGGGTTTTAGAAAAAAAACAGGTTCAAATCCCAGTTCTTCCCCTCAATAAAATGTGGGAGTTGGAGCCAGTTTCTTAACCTCTATGTACTTCAGTTGACTCATCTGTATAACAGAAAGAATAACATTGATGTAATCATGAGTAAATAAGTGAGTGAGATAAGGAAGCATGGAGCAGATGGCTTAACAACAATAAAGGGCTTATTAAACACACATTTATTACTGTGAATTAAAAGGTATTTATGATAAGACTTTTACACATTCTAAAGAATACAAATGAAACCTTAAAAGTTGTTTTATTTCAACAAGCAAAATTTCTTTTATATTACTTGTATCTGAAATCAAATCCTTCCATTAAATTCAGGTGTTTGCATAGTTCCCTTATATATTTTTTTTGAAATAAGACGGAATGTAAATAAATTACAGAGAGTTTGTTTTAAGGTATGCTAAACTCATGCTCAATAAGATTTCAAATGTGAAAATAAGAAAATGGCAAATATGGTTAAGTAGCAAGTAGGGCATCTCTGAGTATTTTCCAGTTAGAGAAAACCACATGCATGTCCTTGGTTTGTGGCTAATTCTTTTATCTTTTATATTGAGACCACAGTCAAAATGGAAATATATTCTTAAACCAACATTAACCATAGTTATTAGGTAATTTAATTCTGCTTTTAAAGTCTAACTTCATGTTAGCACCTAGATCACAAACACTGTTTTAGATGAAGAATCAGTAATAATGAATGAATGACTATAACTTTGGGGCTATTTTTACATAAAACCATATATTACAAAGTTTTCAAATTTCTTATTTCTATTTCTGGTTTCGGTATGCTTACTAATACATACCAGATTATTTTTTGAAGGGAGTCAGCATGATTTATATGTCTCTGAAGTTTCCCATGCACCTCACTCTAGTTGTTTTTAATAAATTTTCAATGAACACTGACAATTTATGATGAAAATGATGAATAGTGTTTTCCATTTATTTAGCCACTCATTCAACAGATATTTATTTAACATCCACTATGGTCCAAGCACTACTTTAGACACTGGGAATACAACAATGGACAAAACAGATAAAAGTCCCACTTTTTCTTTCTGAGCCCATAGCGCTCTTAGAAATATGGTGAATGACGAGAACATTCACCATTCAAAACATGGTGAATGTTCCTAAAACCCACCGGACTTTCTGCAAGTGTGGCAAGGACCAACCCCACAAAGTGACACAGTACAAGAAAGGCAAAGATTCTCTTTATGCCCAGGGAAAGCAGTGTTATGACAGGAAGCAGAGTGGCTATGGTGGGCAGACTAAGCCGATTTTCTGGAAAAAGCCTAGAACTACAAAGAAGATTGTGCTGAGACTTGAATGTGTTGAGCCCAACTGCAGATCTAAGAGAATGCTGGCTATTAAGAGATGCAAGCATTTTGAATTGGGAGGATATGAGAAAAGAAAGGGCCAAGTGATCCAGTTCTAAGCTTCATATTTTGTTATATCACGAAGACAATAAAATCTTGAGGTTATTTTTACTTCATTTGGTTGGAGTTGGTCTTTTAAGAGGGAAATAAACTAGTGCCATCAATAAAATTCCCCTTGTGGGGCAGTTTATACTTGAAAAAAAAAAAACAACACAGATAAAGTCCCAACCTTCATGGAGCATACATTCTGGTGGAAACAAATAAATATATGATATACCATGTGGTGATAGATGTTTAGAAGAAAAATAAAGCAAAAAGGGGTTAGGAAGTGCTAGAAGTAGGAGTGGGGATTTTTTTTTTTTTTTAAGGAAGTTGAAGATGGGGAAGGCCTGTCTGTCTAAGAAGGTGACTTTCCTTCTCTCTGGAGGAAGAGCTTTCTAGAGATATGCAAAGACCCTAAAGCAGAATCTTGCTTGTCTTGTTCAAAAGAACAGCAAGGACATCAGTGATGTTTGGTGTAGGTGAGGCAGATAGAAAGGGATTAAAGATGAGATCAGAGAGTCTGGAAGACGGAGGGATTTCAAAGTTATTAGAAGGTCACACCATTGAAGGACTCTGGCTTTGATCTGTGAGAGAAATGGGAGGTTTTGAGCAGAGGAGTGACACAATCTGAGCTGCATGTGAAAAGAATTACTCTGGCTACTTGCATATAATAATAACTATAGGAAGGCAAAAGTGGAGACTAGGGCACCAGTTAGGAAGTTTTTACTAACCCAGATGAGAAATGATATGGTTTGGCTCAGCATTGCAAAGTGGATAGTGAGAAGAGGTCACATACAATAGGTTTTGCTGATTAATTTTGTTAAGGGCATGGTAGGGAGGAATCTAGGAGGACTCCAGTGATTTTGACGTAAATAATACGAAGATGGAGTTGCCATTTACTGAGAAGGGGAATGCAGTGTGGGTAAAAGAAACAGGGTGTTTGGTTTTGAACATGTTAGCTTTGAGATATCTTTTGGATGTCTAAGAGAGAGTGCTGAATAAGATGTTAGATATATAGTAGCTGTGGACAGGGGAGATGTCTAGACTCAAGACATCTTGGTGTCCTCCAAGCCAAAAGAAGGAAGTGAAAAGCTTAATTAAATGCTCCTGATAGGAAGATAAGGACTGAGAGAAACCACTGAATTTGCTAATGCGGAAGTCATCAGTGACACTGATAAGACCTGTCTCAGTGTACAGCAAAAAATTGACTAAACTAGATTCAAGAAAAGATGAGAGAGAAAGTAGAGGCAAAAAGCACAGACAACTGTTGAGTTTTGCCATAAAGAGGAGCAGAGAAACAGGGTAGTGGAGAGAGGAAGGACCAAGGGATTTTGCATTTTTCAAGAGGGCAGATGCTGCAGGTTGTTTGAAAGCTGGTGGGAATGATCCAGTAAAGATAGAAGAGGTGATCATGCAGAAAAGAGAGGAACATTGTTGGAGCAATTTTCTCCAGGAGACAGGAGGGGTAAGATCTAGCACACAAAGTGGAGAGTTGGCCTCAGGGCAACTGTAGTTCATCCACAGTAGTAGAAAGGAAGACCAAGTATATGGGTACAGATATCAATGCATCAGTAGATGGGGGAGGCTTATGGTATTTCTCATTGCTCATATTTTCTCAGTGAAATTATAAAGTAGGTCATCAATAGAGAATGAGGAGGGAGAAAAGCCGCGGGAGACCAGAAATGAGAGAACAAGTAATGAAATAATTATTGGCTTAGTGGAGGAATGAGTTGGCCAGTGATAGGTAGCAGGATACTGGGTGGCTATCTGGGCCCCACTGAGATTAATGGTCATGAATATAAGTCGCATCAGTCAGTAAGTCTATGTTTGTCCCCATCCAGAATTAGCTTTCCTAGTATAGGTGCAGAATCAGTGAGGACATGGATTTAAAAATATGAACTGCTTAAGTCCTAGAAGAATTATTGAAATATAACATCACAGCCTTAAAAATATTTGGAATCATGCCAAAGAACTCTTTCTGATTATTAGGAATATGCATATAGAGGAGAAGAAGAAATGGCAAAAACAGGCCATATGAATTGACAGAATAGGCAATTGACCCTAGGGGGTCTAAAATAATATCTCATCTAGAAATAATTGCCCTACCGGTCTTTCACAGTGCCTGAAATTCCATCATTGGTGTTATTCTAATAACTTTATGACCTTGTCATGCACAGAGATGGTGCCTATCCACAAAAAAATCTCTAGAGTTTAACATAGTAACAAGAAGGCACAAAATGTTAAATAAATATTTGCTAAATTGGCTTGAATGGAATAGAATGAAGGGCCATCATGCATTCATTTTTATTCAACAAGTATTTATTGAGTAGAAGACACTACAACAGACATTGCAAGAATTTCTAAGAAAGCACATATTTTCATGAAGCTGTTGAGGGTAATAGACAATAGTCAGTAGATGTTTATTAGCAGAGTTTCTTCTTTGGTTTCTCCTATCACCACTTATTGATATAAATTATCTATCTATCTATCTATCTATCTATCTATCTATCTATCTATCTAGCAAAATACAGAGGGGTAGAGGAAGGTATGTGAATGGCCATGCAACTCTGCTGGTGGGGTCACCACAAAGATACTAGGGGGAAAGAAAGCTCTTGAAGCAACACAGATAAATTCCTCTGTTTTACAACTTCAACCCAACACCAGAAGGGAAGCCCTGATGACCTATAGGCTGCAATAGAGGGAATGCCACCTTTCTGCCACTAGTGGAACAAGTGGGTGGACTGAGGTAAAATACCTCTCCTGTATATGTGATTTTACTGGAAAACAGAACCACATGGGTTGGAAGTGAAATCTTGCAAATGCTGATCTCTATACCTCTCTGCCAAAGTGGAAAATAACCTAAGAACCAAGGATCCAGAATAACCTTTTTAAACTACCTCAACCACAGACTTTTTCCTGGGGGGAAAGACCTTTCTGATAGTTAGAAAAATTAGCTTTCTTTTCTCTAGTTTTTTCAACTCATTGGTGTGTTTTTAATTAATTGTAAGATGAACAGATGTTTATTCCCTTTTCCAGTTTGTGCCTCTACGAGCTCATTCTTTGAATTTGCTACAGGAGAACATTCGTTTTTATGCTAATCCTTCACATCTTTTAGGTCCTTTTTAAAATATGATAAAATTCCATTAATCTGGACTTAATTTAGAATTTGAGTTAGGTTTGTCTGAGTTTGACTATAATTTACTGTTGGATTTTAGAAAATACGGTGAAAAAGCTTTTCTAATAGGTAAGACTTTGTATTATTATTATTTAACTAAACTGTGAAGGGATAATGCGGGAAATGTCTATTTCTACTTATCGGAGTAATCACTCAATAAACATTAATTGAGCAGTTACAATGCACCAGGCGTCATTCTAGGCTCAAGTGATACAGCAGTGAACAAAATAAAAATTCTTGCCCACATTGAGTTTACATTTCTAGTCTGAATGAATGAGTGAGTTTACTATTGACATATGCACAACTGCTAAAAAATTAGTCTTATTTGTATTTTTTTTAGTTTTATTTATTTTTCTCCAGGAAAGTCTTGATTTTAGAGCACATTTAACATCTCTTTCTAGATAGTCATCTGCTTAAAGTTACTGTTACTTGAAAATAATGTAGTAAAATTATTGTTTATAATATCCTGTAAATGATCATTTTTAATGGCCTTATGTTAATCTCCTCACCCAAATCAGTCAGGTTTTGATGTAAGAAAAAATCAAAATCAAACAAGCCTAGGATGTCAGCCTTGAGTGTCACCATAACACTCTGCCTTTTTGTTGTTGTTTTTAAGCATTTCTATTTGCAAGTCATTTTTTATAGCTTGTGTCTTATAAACTTAGGAACACCCAGTATGGTATTATCCTCATTTCTCAGGAAGTTACTGCTTGGCAAAGCTAAATAACTTTTCCAAGATCACACAGCTAGAAATTATGCCAGATACTGTTAGATGACAGTGCTAGATTCTACCAACAATGCCCTTCTCCTAGGTTCCCATCCAGATAGAGTAGACATGTAACGCAGTTCTGGCCAATGAGATGCCGGTGGAAGTCCATGGGGGGACGCTCTTTTTCCTTCACCACTTTTCCTGCCTGGGACTTGGATGAGAAGCCTAGAGGTGCAGCTTCTGAAGCTTAAGGCCAACACACTAAAGCTTACAGAGGAGAAAGGTGGAAAAAGCCTTTGGGATATCAGTGAGTAATCATGCCAGCTCTGTAATTCCTACCACTATGGCTTGATATAAGTAAAGCCCCATCTGTTTAAGTCATTGCACTTGGGTTTTCTGATATTTGCATGATAAAAAACACCTAACGGATAAATTTCAGAACTGGAAATCAAAAGTAAAACTCAACACCCCCCATTCTTTCCAATGGATAGTTCTGAAAGCATGCTCTTTTATAAATGTATTCTTAATACTTTCAAGGTGACTTTTTGAGTACTGAGAAAATCTCAACACTCATAACTATATACAGGTATTTCTCACTTTATAAGCTAGATGTATTTCTCAAAAAAGCCATGTGTAAATAATTTAAACATGTAACTGAATGCATTAATGGATTTTAAGAAAAATCTATAATAAATAGTCAAAATACTTGGAGAACATTTTTTTTTTATGATACTAAATAGGAAATTAGGTGGTGGTTGGCAAGTTTTTGTTCAACAAATATATCTTCTCAAATTGTGGTATGCCTGTTCCACATTTATAATGCAATTTTATTGTCAGGAACCTGAGACAGCAAGTAAGTGGGACCTGAAAGAATTAATTCATACCCACTAGGTTGGCAATAACCAGTAAGATAATAATAAGTGTTGGCAAGAATGTGGAGAAGTTGGAATCTTCATATAGTTCTGGTAGGAATGTAAAATAGTGCAGTTGTTTTAGCAAACAGTATGGTAGTTCCTCAGAAGGTTAAACAGAATTAACATATGACCCAGCAATTCTATTCCTAAGTATATGCCCAAGAGAAATGAAAACCTGTGTCTACCGAAAATCTTGTACATGAATATCTCAGAAGCATT